CGAACCTACGACCTTTGGAATACTAGCCCAATGCTCTTCCAACTTAGCTACGCGGTCAGGACGGTTCGAGTAAGTGAGATATTATGACTAATACTAACTTCCAAATAACACTTAAGTAAGTAAGTATATATATATATATATATATATATATATATATATATATATATATATATATATATATATATATATATATATATATATATATATATATATATATATATATATATATATATATATATAACTAACTACAGACGGTACCGTTTCGGCCTTATGGGCCTCATCAGTGTAGTGCTGATGAGCAGGATGAAAGTAACTGCTATTTACAGTTACCTTTGATGCCTCACGATTGTGGGACATCAAAACCATGCCAAAGCGCTCAAACTGCAAGCAGTGAGCGTGCGCAATGCGTAAGCGGCATGGCTCATCCTGTAGAGCGCTCAATATGACACAAAGGCCATAGAGCGATATCTATATATATATATATATATATATATATATATATATATATATATATATATATATATATATATATATATATATATATATATTAACTAAGTCGGATTCGAACCGGCGACCTCTGGGTTACAAGCCAATCGCTCTACCAACTGAGCTATCAGCCCGAAGAAGACATGTTACTGTCGAAATGGCTGAAGAAGACATGTTAGTGTCGAAATGGTGCTTGCGATGGGCTTGTAACCCAGATGTCGCTGGTTCGAATTCGACTTAGTTCCAACTTTTCCTGTTCACTAAGTTCACTTTTCCTGTTCCTATATATATATATATATATATATATATATATATATATATATATATATATATATATATATATATATATATATATATATATATATATATATATATCTATATATATATATCTATATATATCTATATATATCTATATATATCTATATATATCTATATATATCTATATATATCTATATATATCTATATATATATATCTATATATATATATATATATATCTATATATATCTATATATATCTATATATATCTATATACAGGGTGTATCAAAAAAAACTGAACAGATTTAAAATTGCTCTCAATTTCGCAAAACAGCTATTTGTATCCGGTTTTTTATATATATGGCCTCTTTGGGTACTTATAATGTAGAATAATGAGAAAAATTTCTCGAACTCAAATTTTGTGAACCAGGGGGGGGGGGTGTCATTTCCAACAACCTAAAAATGGCTCGCGCACAAAATTTAAAAGCTGCAATCATATTTTGAGTTAACCGATGGAAAATTTGTCGGGATTTTAATTACTGTACAAAATTTCAGACAATTTGGTTTAGTTTAAGCCCCCTTAACTATTCACGCAAAGTTACAATTTTCCCGAAAAATCAGCTATTTGCATGCTTAATTAATGCATTTGCCTAATTTGCATATGTCAGCAATATGCAAATTAGGTAAAGGCATTAATTAAGCATGCGAAAGGCTGACTTTTTAGAACAAAATGAATAGTTAAAGGCTTAAACTAAACCAAATTGTCTGAAATTTTGTACAGTAATTAAAAACCCGACAAATTTTCAATCTATCAACTCAAAATATTATTACAGCTTTTAAATTTTGTGCGCGAGCCATTTTTAATTTGTTGGAAAAGACACCCCCCCCTGGTTCACAAAATTTGAGTTCGAGAAATTTTTTTTATTATTTTACATTATAAGTACCCAAAGAAGCTATATATATATAAAAACAGATACAAATAGGTGTTTTGCGAAATTGAGAGCAATTTCAAATCTGTTCAGTTTTTTTTTATACACCCTGTATATATATATTGTACTGTCTTTGTTAGATTGTATCGTTTTTTTTGTTTTTTTTTGTTTTTTTTGTATTGTACTGTATGGTATATATAAATGGCGAAGTTATATAAATAAATAAATAAATAAATAAATACCAAGACATGTCAGACTAACGGGATTGAAAAGGTCATATGGTACCACGTACCAGCAAAAAGGAAGCAGATAGCAAGAGTTCAGCGTATCTACGTGCATGGTACGTGACTGAAAAAAGATATACCAGGCCGCCATAATTTTCATACCTTCGTAGTACGCGATTTATATTATTTTGCTCAATTTCTGCGTGTGTGATTTACATTTGTTCAACAATTTAGGTGGGCAGCCGTCGTGTGGTAGTATATGGCTCGCTCTTTATGATGGTTTTGGCAGTGTTGGGAAAGTTTGGTGCTCTATTTGCCACCATCCCTGAACCGATCATTGGTGGTGTTTTTATTATCATGTTTGGTATGGTCACGGCTGTTGGATTGTCCAATCTTCAGTTTGTGGATCTCAACTCTCAACGAAATCTGTTTATAATTGGTTTCAGCATTTTCATCGGTTTGGTCGTTCCAAAATGGGTCGAAGCGAACATTCATGTCATCGATACAGGTAGGTACGCTTTTGGCATGTTTAGAAATGTTTCGTACATAAAAACGCAGACAGACAGACAGACAGACAGACAGACAGACAGACAGACAGACAGACAGACAGACA